TCTTCCGATTTCCTCTTTCATCCACGCGTTCTATCGTTTGTCATCTTAGTGCGAAGTGAGGCTAAAAATGGTCCGATGAAACGAAGAATAATTTCGTCGCGTAAAGTAGAGTAGAATGGAAGATCGTTAGCGATGGTGAAGCAAAGTGAACGAAGCTTACCTTTTACTCGATCGGTCTCCCTCTTGATGTATACCTTCCCTATAGAACAGCAAGGATCGTCGAGAAGCTGACACCAAGTAGCAAGAGTGCTGCATGGAACCGTAGTATATATGGCCCATGGGGTCTCAGGGTTCAAGTCCTACCTCCCCCACTACACACGCCACTTGGCGAAAGTACTCCGCGATCGGTACTGTAATGTTCAACATCAGGCCCGTCTACATCAACTAGCGAACTGCAGAAGGACATGCATTTACCATGCACAGGATCGCGATGCACTGTGCATGATTGATAAACGAACTGTGAAGTCGAACGTGTATCAGAAGCGAAACGCTTGGAAACGTTCGAAATGGACGCAATTCGTCGACTTCGAATCCTGAGAAATGAAAGGGTTCGGTGGTTCGAAAATTTGAAAATTCCAGAATTTCGCAATATACAAAAGTGATCCAAAGGTAAATAACGTACAACTGTCAACGCTCGATATGTTTAATTGCTTAAGAACAAATTATTTTCTGAACAGGTGTATTACCGATGCGAGTAATCGTTGCATCGGTAAATGTTGCTAATAAGTTTCCCAATGTTACCTTGATAATGCACTTCTCTCGCGAAGTTTGTAAAATGGAATCGTAAAATGCGTTACGGACAATGCCGGTAATAAAAGCGTCACAGCTAATACGCTGACTTTGAAACGTGGAAACGGTTTACAACTTCTTACATGCCGCAAAGAAGTAATTACTAACGGGATAATAAAAGATCAAAACGAGCCCAGTATAATCTTTTCAAGTCGAGCATTTACCAACGAGCTGATTAATGACGTTCGTGCAGGTATTGGTAGCTACGAGCATCTTTTCTTGTTCGAGGCAACTGAGCATTTTTCTTTCGGCAATCCTGATAGTTAGAAATGGTACTTGGCAGTTGCTAGGGTCACGGAACGAGCTATAAATTGCACGTAAATTAAGACGTTTCGAGAGAACGAGTAAAAAATGATAGAAAAAATTACTAGGACCGAGATCGATCTTGAAACGCAGAGTCAGAGACAGATACGAATCTGGAACGGTGATTGTACATGCTCGAATGTCACAAAAGTTCGAATCAGTGTCTGACACGCCGCAGTGCAGTTGTCACGCGTCAATCATACAATCTCGAATTGCTCGCAAGTGCCATTTATCAGAAACGAAAAAATTAAAAGAGATTTGTCCGGTATCGGTTAAAAAATCGGTGAAAAAAATTCGAGTGACTAGCAAGATCAATGGTGAACGTTCGATGACGCACACCTTCGTTTACATCATGCTTAGAAGAAAAATGGAACGACATCCGTGAACGACGGTTACGCACGACGAAATTCGCGAGACAAGCAAATGTCTCTGGAGCTGCTCCATCTTCGCGTCGAGCAGATTGTTTATATACAAAACTGTGTGCGAGCTGTGCACACGAGACGAACGGATAAACCAACTCACTGACGCAAGAATCAACGACGTTGCTGTTACTAGGTTCGTCCAAAACGCGAGAATATCTCGGAATTGTCGTACTACTCGCGATTCGCGTTTTGCGAAACCGCGTTCCCGTTATATCGGTTTTGCATGTCGGTTATACTCGTTTCGTTCGCGACAGCCATGGCGAAATCTTGGCAACGATGGTAAAAGATCCGTGACAGAAGAACTTGGGCGAAGAATCGAATCGTGTGCAAAATTACGACAAACCTGGAACTCTGACGATTGATCCGTAAATAAATATAGATAGCTTTTCCGTACAAATTTCTTTATAATTAAACTCTAATTAATCGTGTACTTGATAATTCCACGGTACATTGCGATTATTAGCTACATCGTAGTATAAAATGGGAATGATGAATCGACTGGTACAAATAATTCTAATAAATGGTATACCTAAATGTACGAAGTGACTAATTGTTAAAATGCTTTAAGTTAAAGATATTATCGTAGGTATTGACTGTAGGAATACTTTTGATTTCGTTGAACAGAGTGCGGAAAATACGTGTTATAAACGCAGGTATGTCCCAGCAATTTGTGCGCTCAGAAATTGCCAGGCCCGGCCACTTATCCCAACGTCATTGTTCCGCACGACATAGTTTCGTGCAGGTATCTATTAGGAGACTTTACAACTCTTTTCAATCTACGGTCCCACGCTAGATACTCGGAACTATAATTATAAAACTAACCCTATGCTCTTCTATAATTATCAAAGACTATCGTAACTCTTTATACTTCAAATTTTCGAATACCACGATGTCGTCTCCTAACCTCTAAAACTAAAATACGGTCTCATCGGTCAGCTACGCGACACGAGATTCTAACATAGTAACTTATGAGGTACGATCTCTAAGAGGTTAACTAGCCGATGATTCGACGTGTCAAATCGACTCTATCGGGATGTAGCACATTCTTCTGAACAACAGTATCGGGAAATTCGGTAGCAGTACAATGAAGAGCAGCACCAGGGGCGACAGCAGCAGCAAAATACTGGCGTACACCACGAACCACCATACCGTCGATGTTCCAAGAACTGGATCCAACATCGTGAGTCCTAGTTGGCGAAAATGTCAGGCATGCAGAGATTCTGAAGCATCTGTGGTTCGCTGGGACAATTCGGTTCCACGAAGACAGGGCGTATTTGGAATCATGGTCGATCGATATTCCCCGACGTATGATCGATTAACTGAAGAATTCCTGAAAAACGAAAGCTATAAATCATAGATTCTCATGACGGGTGTCATCGTTTTATTCTATAACAATTTACAGTATTTTCCTTCTGTCACATTTATGTAAGAATACCTCAGAAATGTAAATGTTAAACCGTCTCTCTTCCGCATTTTCACAACTTGTAAAACGAACATTTAGAAAAGGAGTGTAAAGAAAAAAATTATAATCGACGTTTAGTGTATATTTGTTCTCGTTATACGAATAATAGTATGCGAATAATTCGATTGCCACGAACGTAACCAACAAAACGACCAATAAGTTCGATATATCGATTCGGATGATAACATTCCGATATTCGCTCAAAGCATTCTATAGTTTCGTGCACTGATTTCAAGGATAGACTGCTTTATCCATTGCATCGTAGCAACGACGAGTTTTTCAGGAAAGGTGAGCCACTCTTCCTTAGGATATACGGAACAATGAAAACCAGACTACACAACAAAACCACGGACGATAAAACAAATCGAACCGATCGAAATGGTTATTTTCCCACACCGTATACGCCGTGTCGAGAAATGGGATAATAAGATCCGTGGATAACTGCCGTGCGATCCAGTCAATTTACCGATTGCAGATTGCGCAACCGTCGATTCGTTTATAACTATTGTATAACTCCGCCAGAGTGAGATATACGTCGAATTTACTTCGCGATGTAAACGAAACATAGAGGGCGGAAGTATGCTCGATTAAGTATCGTAATATTTTCATCAGTCGTCGATTATACGGTTAGAAAACCTGTATGCAAATTATCCATTTTAAAAACTCTGGAGTCACGAGTAAAACGGTTTTTTAAGTAATCGTCGGTAACTTTCGAGTGTTTCAGGTTCGTATAGTTACAAAATACTAGAAGTACGCTGAATCCCAAAAATTTCATCCACGTTGAAGGAATACGCGCGTGTCGACACGCTCGTCCTTGTACAGCTAAGTACGTGAGCCTTGTGATAGAGAGACCGGTTAGACAAGCCCTGGCAACAGAGTCGCACAAAGTAAAAAAGCATCGAAAAGAGACAGGCGATGCGAGCATACTCGCACGATAAAAATCTGCGTCGATATCTAAAGGTAACGCGTATATACAAACGAGTTTGCTATCCTGAGACGCTAGCGCGCGCGATCGCACCGCGGAAAGTGAAATTTTCGCGATTGCGTAATGCTAGCATAATACTATTATCCGACGTAGATTGTAAGCCGCTTGGTTACGGAGTGTGCCGCCATTAACGAAGTTACGATTAACCTCATTGCGGTTCTTGAATCAAAAATCAAAACACCTCTAACACTGATTTTATACGAAAAATATTCCTACGACTTTTTCACCATTTTATATACGTTAATTTATTCTGCTCAAAATATTATTCTGTTCGATTTAACGAATTATTCGAAAGTTCTAAATCGAAACCTGCAAATCGATTCAAAGTGTTCGAGGTCTTTTACATTTGCGCAACATAATGTTGCAATCCATAGATATTTGCTACGTCAGCGAAATACAATTTGAATTTTTGCATGCTACCTGGGTATACTTAAATTCCATATCGTTTTTTAATTGTCATCGAAATAAAAACCCGCTGACGTTAATTCAAGTTCGTTTCTAGGTCAAAGGAACAGAGTGGATATAATTGGTGAAGGACTTCCAGATTTTCGATCCCTTCTCCGATATCGCCATGTCCTTGCCCAGTAAAAAGTCCTATGGTGTTCACGTATACACACGAAACACGGTTGCCCGATTACCTCGCGCCTTTAATGTTCGTCGAAGAACCTCGTGGAGCAGCAATGTGCATTATTCCGAGTGCAGCTGCGCAAATAAAAATATCGTCGATCGAATATTTGTGTTTGACCACCTTTGAAAACATTCGAATAGACTAAGGATCGAATATAAAAATAGAAATTAATCATTCTGAATTTTTTATTTGTCAAACGTCAAACGCTAACGATCATAAACTGTCAAATCGACGATCGTAAATAACCTCAAAATATACAGGAAGTCCAAAAACGAAGATATCTACCACGCTATCAAGAATATCAACAAAGATACAGAGACTATCCGTCGTTTCTTACCATTCCTCCACCCAGCACGATCTGCATCACAGAAAAATGTCGCCGATCAGCACAGCGAGTCCAACGAACGAAATTCCAGCCGGTGTACACCGTGTCACCACGAATCTGAATCACGATTTCCGTGAATGCGCGACAGATTGGTGCGGAGAATCGTTTCTCGTATGCGTTCAGTCGCTTTCCGCGGACTGAGAGCACACCAGACTCCCATGCTTCGATGTCCCGGGTACTTTCCCTTTCTTTCGGCGCTTTGAAACCGACGTACGAGTCTGTTGAGTCACCTGGTAACGCTTCGCCGGCATCGGATGGACATGATTACCACAATCCCACTGCTTGTGAAACGTGTGCACGCTGATCATCGTTATCCAACGCGATCACACACGATTCTCGATGGCATTGACGACTTCCAAGCTTCGGCCTCGCCTTCGACTCATGGACATCGAGGTAGAGAGGTTAGCTCGAAACGAATGAAAACATTACGTTGGATGAGAGTGACGAAAAGGAAATTTCTTATATACATATCGACTTCGTGAACAATATTCCATTTACGAAACAAACGTTTTATTACTTCTTGGTTATGGGTTACCATTTTGTAGTTTTTCAAACAGTAGCTAAACAACAATCAAATATTGTCGCATACACTGCACAGTCGTGCATATATACGCACAATCCAGTGTATAGTGTCAAATGCTTTCTGTTAATATCTCGGAAACTAATGCATAAATACCCGAAGCTGAAAGTTTACATTTCCCCCTCCATTCCAAATTTTATCTCGGTCGGTCACTGAGGCCATTCGGTACTTTGTGCAAATCGTACTATTTTTATCTATCAGTAATGAAACAAAGAAAATTAAAATGAACATGAAGGTCATATAAAATAATATGAGGTAATTTGACAAATTGTATGACTTAAAATGATTTTAGTATTGTATTTGAGTAACTACGTATTAATGTTTCGATTATACATTATTCGTCATACGAGGTTCAATGCTCTTGTATAAAAGAGACCTTTGAGCATTTGCTTTTTTTAAGAGTACTATAATCTGTGTTGTCTGAGAGGATGCACAGAAAATAATGGAGAGGGAATTTCATCGTGGAAAGGGAACGTTACGAATGGAGAAGGAAGTTGCCTAGCAACCAACGTTGCGAACATCACAGCGCTAACACTATGACGAATCTTCGACTTTGCTATTTGGTTTAGTGAAGGACACATGGGAGATCGAGTGTGAGCAGTGGAAAAAGGTTTGTAAGACATTTTATTGCGTATAGAATTTTTTTTAGTACATTTCTTATTTAGTTCCAAAGGTTACGGTATAATTGACAGATCAGGTAAGCAGATGTTTAATATTTTTAGTTGAATATAATTTGATAAACTTATTTGTGTACTGATTTCTTATTGATTTCGACAATTTTCAAATATATTGTTAAGAACAATATTTTGTACCTCTACATATAATCAGTGATCAACCTTCGTTTCCGAGATATTAGTGAAATTCCTTCGGTACTATCACATTGAATTTTGCTTATGCGTGTGCATCCATGACGTGTCGCTAGCAAAGGCGGGAGTCGTCCGGCGAGTTCGTACCAGTGCTGCCTCCCGAAAAGTAGATTGTTCATACTAAACACTGTTATGTATTCAACATAGCAATGCCGTAAAGTCAGTGATTTCACTGCTAATTTTTATGATGTAATAATTAATTGAAAATTTGTTTAAAATTTCAAAGCTTCACCGGGATGGAGATTAAGCACTCCCACGCCGAAATATTTAACCTAACCTAACTTAACCTAATCTTAAGCTAAAATTATTCAGTTTAATCGTAGATTAAGTTAGTTTAAGTTAGATTTTCTGCAGAGTGAGTGTAATTAAAACAAATTTTTGAGTAATTTGTACGATATGAAAATCGACAATACTATCATAATTCTTTCCGATCAATGAACAACAATGACTTTTGTAATCAGATATAAGGGACAGAGCTGCTACTGTCTGTGTTTACGACTGTATCATGAATGCATGCATATAATAGTACCAAAAGAATTTTGTTAATATCTTCGAAACTAAGGCCCACCACCAATTATATGTAGCGGAAAATGTTACTTAATATATTCCTTTTTGCAATATATGCCATACTCATAAATCTCAATGAAAAACCAATGTACTCAGTACATCGATAAGATTATCCATAATTAAAAAATTAATGATTTTTTGAAAAATAGAATATTTTCGCTTCCCTAATCGCTCGAGTAAATTTATAATTATGAATTTTGTAATAATAGAGGGAGTACCAGTTTATCTGCTTCTACCCCAAAGAAAACGAATGTCCCACTTCAGGATCATTGGCTAAAAGACTCAAATAGGCCAAGTGCCCAGTATGCTGCAAAAATGTTAAGCCACGAAAAACTGTTTTAAACGAGCATAAATAATCAGGTATGCATATGTCGAATATCTAAAGCTTTAAAGCGAAAACCATATTACATTCTTAAGATCAAAGAGAATGGTGGAAAATAATAATCTTCTTTTTTTCAGATTTTACGCGAATAGCCACTTGTCAAACTTCTGGTATTATTAATGTCTTCCTTGATTCTGTTTCGATGTTAAAGATTTTTAAAATTAGCAAAACTATGTCATTTAGTCTGTCAAATATGATACCGAGACTGCGTATACGTCTAGATATCACTGAAATGTCATTCTAGTATTTATTGTAATTATTTATAGCTATCCGGCTATTAAAAGTATCTGATATTTGTCGTTGTAGTGTATACACAGTCTCGGATCGATCATCAGGGAATATAACAAAAAGGTGAACTCATAAATAATTTTTTCAATTTGTAAAGCATCTCATATTGAGCTTCTGAAAAGGAATTCAATCATTTATAACGTTTTATAAATTTACTTTAAAACAGTATTCTCTCGCCATGCGAATAGTAAGGTATTATCGATATATCGTTGTTCGACTCAAAAAGGGTTAAATCCTTCTCCAACGCCTTTAAAAACAGATCGCTTACCTCGTTCATCACATCATAATCATCATTTTGTTTGGATGAATGTGATTCATCAACTGTTTTGTATAGTGTGTTATTAGGTAAGTCTAATAACAATTAATATGCAAAGTAAATCCACTCCTTCACAGATAGATTGTGTGTGGACTTTCGATTTTACTTCATCTTTAGTGTGGATGGTTTGCTGAATGCAATAACATAAATCCTAAAGTGAATAAGAAGATATGCATACATTTGTATATTCGACGAATTGTATAAATATGTATAACTTTGTACATGTATATGTATATTTAACATTTGTACATACTATTTATCTTTATATGCGTGTGTCTATATAATTATATATATATATATTTTATTATTGTAATTACAGCAATGAAAAGAAAAAATTGTTTGATATATATTAATCTTACATATGTATTTCAGTTCACTGCTAACTTCCTTATACTTATAATTAGATAAATCCTTACATAAGGAAATTCTTAAGTTAGTATAATAATGAGAATAATTTTAAAGATATCAGGTTTATAATACTAATGTGCTATTTTTGAGTTTAATTGCATGTCACAGTATTTTCATTTATTGCAGTAGAACTCTTAATTTTTCAATGTAATGGAAATTCGTAGTGTTTCTTCATTCGTCAATAATCATTAATAACAATTAACATATTACAATTTTTAAAACGTTAACTATGTATTGTTTATGGTTGCTATGGATGTTATAAATAAGTTACTAAGCAGCAAATCGACAACGTGGCCAAACGGAAAATCCATGCTTCCCCTTCATATTTACAATACTACTAGGACCAGGTCTTGTATCCATTTCTGCGAGAGCAATGTTACCTATTTGTACAATAATTTTCAATATTAGTGTATGAAACAATGAATGAATAAATATACGTAGTATATTCATAATTGAATAAATAATTTCTAATAATTCGTATTCTGCATGTAAAATAATTAATCAGTTTTTAAAATATAACTTACCTGATCTTTCAGTAGTTAGAATAATATATAAAGTCACTTGCCTCAGTCGCTTGCCGTGTACCATCGTACAAAAGAACACCCGTTATTTTTCCCCACTCCGTCGCAAGTTGCTTGAATCATGCAGGCTGACACATTGACGGCGAGAGCAGCGAGAAGGCAAGAGGGGTCTAGGCCGGCAAAATGTGAGGAGAAGGGGAAGTGTAGAGTCTCCGTCTGGCCACGCGATACGTCACTAGCGTCGGTTTATCAGTTGCTAGGCAACTCCCTACTCAATTCGTAAAGTTCCCTTCTCACTATATTCTCTCTCTACTACTTTCAGTGAATTCTCTTTTCTGTTTTTTTCCATTATTGTTTTGTAAACTTATCTGATTCTGTCCTTTGCAAATGCTTCATAAGGTCTGTTGCGTGATTCTAACTGTAATAGTACAAATTTATAAATAGATAAAAACAGAGCTTAAGAGTTCAACATATAAATCGGAACACTTGAAATTTTTTATTTTAAATTTGCATACCAATATTATCGAAGAACAATTATTAATTTTACAACTATTGTAATCTTCTTGCCTCATGTTACACATAATAAAATATTTTTTGCCTGTCCTGCATTTTCTTCAATGTGTAATTCCATCCATAATTCGACTCAGTGTTCACTTGTTTAAAAAGTCGACGAAAAACTGAACTGTTCACGATTAAATTCAGAGGTTCTCCTACATCAAATGTCCATTTGTTTATAAATTAATATATAATGCAGTGAAATGTCTATTCAAAACAATTTAAATAATCGATAATTTGAAATCGAAATACTAAATTTATCCATCACTACAGCTTCAAAATTGTTTATTGTTCTCAAATCGTTTCAATGTCCAGTCGTTAACTGTCGAGTAACTGATCACTCGTGACATACAAGCATAGCAATATTAGCCACAGTATCTATAGTATATAGAACCGTTTCAGGCTGAAACACAACCGACACACTAATGAACTGCGAAACCGTAACCGGAATCGATATTGACTAGAATTAGATTTTCCCACTCATAACATCAATAATTTCATTTTAGCTCTTCATAAATGTTACGAGAAACATAACCGATATTATAACCCTTTACGATCTATGATTTGACAACGCTGTATGGCACACTAGCGCCATGCTCTAAAGAAGAATCGAAGCTTTAATCTGTGGGCAACTTTATCGTTCGAGTGCGTGCTATTATATCGAAATATGGTTAACCATCGATTTATTATGTTATCATATGAAAGTACAAAGTCTGTATAGTTATTCTTCAATATAACAATTGATATAAAAATAATATATGAATTTTATATTTAAAAATAAGGAAACATAGTATTGTTCAATTCCTGAGTTAAATTTTATTTGTGTCTATCTTCCTCAGCGACTTGGGTATTCAACATTAAATCTATACCTAAGTCCTTGATTACTATATAAACCTATCAACCATGTTTCTTCCATACAATAATAAATTTAGTTGGAGATCATTCTTAGTAATAAAAATTGGTGGTCCTAAAAAGGACCGTTTTATTGTTTTGAAATGGATGAGAAGCAAGTTTATGCTTTTTTTTCGGTTTTCTTTGGTAGTAGAACTGCTTGGATATTTGGTAAAACACCACCTTGGGCTATGGTAACCCCAGATAAGAGTTTATTCAATTCTTCGTCATTCCTGATGGCAAGTTGTAAATGTCGTGGAATAATTCTTGTCTTCTTGTTGTCTCGAGCTGCATTACCAGCCAACTCCAAGACTTCAGCGGCCAGGTATTCCATAACAGCTGCCAAGTAAACTGGCGCGCCAGCACCAACGCGTTCTGCGTAGTTGCCTTTACGAAGCAGTCTATGGATTCTACCAACAGGAAATTGTAAGCCTGCTCTATTAGAACGGGACTTCGCCTTTCCCTTAATTTTTCCACCTTTTCCTCGTCCAGACATCTTTAAATGTAAAGATAATACACACGAAAGCGAAAAAGAACGTTGAACACCCTTTGACTGGCAAGCGGGAAATGATACGTTTACCTCCAGTGCAACGCCTTTATAGGCCTGAGAAGCAGCTAGGCCCGCACCAATCAGGAGCCGCATTACAATTCCCCTCTTCTGATTGGATCGCTGGTACTTTCGTTTGTACGCTTGGTAACTATAGCTCATATTTTTGTAATTAATAATAATATAAGATTTATGCAAATATAATAAAAAATATTCAGGGAACCGTAATACCCTAATTAAATACGTAATTGTATTATAAATATTCCAGAAGTCCAATACAAAGATTATATTATTTCAATTGTCAATTTGTATTTCGTGTTCATACTTATAAAATGATACATATATATAACCTTATAGATTAATTTTAATTTATATATATTAAATAGCATCATGCATTGTGATGTTTCATCTGTATGTTTGAAAACCCTTTGAGTAGCACATTGTCAATCAGACTTATATGTATGTAAAATATTAATGGATATAAAAGCCTTACATTTCTTATGAAATTTTCAAAAGGAATCTTGAAACGGTCATTGATATACATACATAGTTTGAATTAATAGTTACTAAAATATATTATGTGCTATCGAAAAGTACGTTTCAAATTTTTTATAAGAATTAAATTATTTTATATATATGATATAACCTCTAAAAGAATTATTTCAGAAAAATACAGCTATGAACAATGTATTTAATACTGCGTAATCATTTATAAGGCCATTAAAATCCAATGACGATATCGTTAAAGATAAAACATACGGGAAACAGAAAAAAGATTCTGTATGATAAGAAATATTTAATGTATAATTATTATGAATCATTTTATGAATGTCTTTCAAAACGTTTAATATATTGCAGGAATTTGTAATAAAATATATATTATAGTTACGTATAAATATATAGAAAATAATAAAGGACTATATTTATTAACCTAACTAGTATTGTATAATAATTCTGATATTGCACAATAAATTTATTGTACAAATAATACATGTATATGTTTTAACACATTTCTTCCTTCACTTTTAATCCTCTATTTATTTCTAGAACATTCATATTTTTATTTAACATTAAAAGTTTGCTTACATATAAACTGCATATAAATATTAGATCATTTTAAGCAATACAAAACAAATATTCAATTAATAAAGAAATATATATATTTCTGATGCGTTTTCAAGAAAGGAAAAATTAATTTAAAATTTTATACTTAAGAAAATCAGAAATATATTATTATGATCTCAATTATCACTTTTAAAAGAGATATATAATGGCTATATTATATTAGGAAATAAACGTTGATTTTAGTAAGTAAATGTAGATTTCAATGGAACAATGAAAAAATCTTTCATTAAAAAATATGATTCTGAAAATTTATTCATTTAATTTCTCATGTAACTTTTATAATCTTTGGTAGATTAGTTGAATATTTTGTTGTATGATATCACATTATAAAATTATTTATTCCTTATCAATTTTTCAGTTAAATTGGTGATTCATACTTGACTGCTTTTTCACATCATGTTTTATTTTAAGCTGATGACTGGCTAAAGAGATTCTAATCCTAATTATTCGTGTTCCGTGTTCTTTAATAATTTACAAATTAGATATATAACTCAATATGCATGAAATGAATAAAAAAAAATTGTTAACAAATGAATCAGTATATGTTGGTGACATAACGCATATTTTAAAAAATATATTATTGGGACTTTAGTCAACATGTTTGACCATGCTTGATATCTACACAAATGATGTACAATTATGTATAGTAGAGAAAACGTGTTATTTTCACACCTAGTTTAATCCTAAATCTTTTTTAAATTTTGAATCAGGTCGGAATTGGAGTAATAAAAGCGTACGAAAGTGAATGAAAAGAAACGTTTATACATAAATCAATAGGATATTACTTTAAAAATCCACACACAATTTATACTTTTCTACCTATTTATTACTTTCAAAATAAATTATATTGCAACTGTATTTAGAAAAATATTTTAAATGCTTCAGTTCTGAGAGAGTATAGACGAACACCCACCGAGTTTCAATTATGTTCTAGACATTTCTACGAGTAAGGTTAAGTCGACTTTTTGAGGTTAGCTGAAGCTACGAGAAAGTTCCAGGCACTGCTAGAATAACGTAAAAAACGGAAGTAGGGAAACGAAAAAAATATAACATTATCGCTGTAATATACAATAAATGTATTTAAGGCACTCTATAGTTAACGGTTTTCAACGAAATAGTATATTGCTTTGTATTGACAGAAAGAATTCATACGTTTGAAAATATTGTTGGCCCTGATAAGGGCCGTTTGTGTTTATGAATGCAGCAATATAGCGGCACCAATTAACCACCAAAACCGTAGAGGGTTCTGCCTTGGCGTTTCAAAGCGTAAACGACGTCCATTGCCGTTACGGTCTTCCTTTTAGCGTGCTCGGTGTACGTAACAGCATCACGGATAACGTTTTCCAGGAAAACTTTTAGTACACCACGAGTTTCTTCGTAGATCAGACCAGAAATACGCTTCACACCACCACGACGAGCAAGACGACGGATAGCTGGTTTCGTGATACCTTGGATATTATCACGCAAAACCTTCCTGTGACGCTTGGCTCCTCCCTTTCCCAATCCTTTTCCTCCCTTTCCACGGCCAGTCATGATGTAAAATTAACTTGAAGATACGTACTACTCGAATAGCAACGATCGAATGTTTGCCTGCAGACCCTTACGGCCCCCTTTTAAGCTTACTCCAGAACTGCTCCCACCGCCCGACCAGCAGCCAATCAGAGACGACCGAGCGGGAGCTGCAGCATATAAAAAGGGGTCATCAGCAGCCGCTCAACGCATTTCACATTGTGAGTTTAGAGAAGACGCTTCGTTATAATTTCTCAACGCATTTTATATCGAGGAGGAGATAATGGCTCGTACTAAGCAAACCGCTCGTAAATCAACTGGTGGAAAGGCTCCACGTAAGCAGTTGGCTACCAAGGCTGCTCGCAAGAGTGCCCCGGCTACTGGTGGAGTGAAGAAGCCTCATCGCTACAGGCCTGGAACTGTCGCTCTTCGTGAAATTCGACGATACCAGAAGAGCACGGAACTTCTCATCAGAAAATTGCCTTTCCAACGACTCGTTCGTGAAATTGCGCAAGATTTCAAGACCGACCTGAGATTCCAAAGTTCAGCTGTCATGGCCCTGCAAGAAGCTAGCGAAGCGTATCTCGTTGGTCTTTTCGAAGATACCAACTTGTGCGCTATTCACGCTAAGCGTGTGACAATCATGCCAAAAGATATTCAATTGGCTCGCCGTATTCGTGGAGAGAGAGCTTAAATTACTCAGGCTACATTTATAACAATCGGCCCTTTTTAGGGCCAAAATTTTATTCAATGTAGTGACTCATGGTTTTTTCAACTATAACCCTTCCATAACAAGTCCTTATTGATTCAGAACCTTTTCTGTTGTAAAATTTGTCTAATTTGTATTTGTATCAATAACAGATCGTAACGAACTTTTTCAGTAAAAATATATTTCAGAAATTCAAATTGTAGGGGAAAGAAAACCGTTATTGCTGGACTAACCTGGTGGTTCTGTTTTTCTACAGAGAACCGACATCTGCGTCGAACATCTGTCCCACGCTTCTTTGTGTGGGGAACCCTACTCCCCTCATTGAATTTCAGGCAGTCCCTTCTATCTATCCCTGTCCCAATATCTTTGAAAGCAGACTGGTTAAATTTCGAATTGTATAACGCATATAATTTTCAATGTAATGAAATAACGAAGGTTAGAAAGAATTAAATATCACGTTCATTGAAGTATTATACAACTTAGAAATTCAACCATTCTGAAAAAATTTATGGTCTTTGAAAGTATCATTTGTGCCGTTATTATTTATGGAATTTAATTTTTTCAGTACTTGCAATTACTTGAGCCTTCGCATGTAGCCCACTTTAATTAATTGTGAAAGTAGATTTTTATGCAGATTGTGCCATATTAGCTAGGTTTCATATACTGGAAGAATCCAGAACCTTTTCCACCCTATGTACCTAAGGATTTTTTATTCTTTCGGTTTTAAAAGATTGAAAAATTTAGCAATGCAGTATTATATTTCTCCTACCAGCACTAAAATTAATAGTAATAATAATTAATAGTAAAATAGTTATTACTGTAAATATACTGAAGTTTTGAGTAGCTTTACATTTATATAAAAATTTGTAGAAAAAAGTATTGTATGCCTCTACACATTTTAAGACTGATACTTAACCTAGAAATACTTCGTAATGTATGAGAAAGCTAGATATGAAGACTGCATTAGATTTCGTATGAATTACGATAGAACGATAAATAATTAAGATAAATGTTTTTTAACATTAACGAGCAGCCAATGGTAAAAATAGTATGTAGGTAAGCAAATCGCAAACCATGACCAGAGCCATATGAAAATATACATATGTACGTAATCCGTTAACACTTTTTGCTCTATATATGTGAACAAAATCTGTTTTTTGTTCCAAATTTCTATAAATTATATTTTATGTTTTCTATTTTTCTATATACAAATTAAATTGTCAATTAAACCACGCCATTTTCCCTTATATGTAACCAATAATGTTAAGTGTAATATACATGGACTTCTTGATGATCTAATTTACAACCTGAATAATCGTGATCTTTACTGACGGAGAGTTTATAAAGCTATTACAGAGATCTCAATCCTTTGCCATGTATTAACTCATACTGAATACCCTTTTTATATTTAAAATATATACAAATGTGTACGATATTTACTAGTACTTTCTTCCGACTATTCATGATTTAATATTACTAGGTTTGTAATATAGATGTAAATAGATGTAGTATAATATGGAATGTAGAATGGGGATATTTAAAATTGTGTTGAATTATGAATTAAGGTGAACTAAGAAATTCCTTCATTGTAAAATATTTTGTGGCCCTAAAAAGGGCCAATTTGTCTCGATGTTGTTTGGTATGATTATGCTTTCTTCTCAGTTTTCTTTGGCAATAGGACTGCTTGAATATTTGGTAGAACACCGCCTTGTGCTATGGTTACGCCCGAAAGTAGTTTATTCAATTCTTCGTCATTACGTATAGCAAGTTGAAGGTGACGAGGGATAATTCTGGTCTTTTTATTATCTCTTGCAGCATTTCCCGCCAATTCTAACACTTCAGCCGCCAAATATTCCATGACGGCTGCCAGATATACTGGTGCTCCGGCACCAACACGTTCAGCGTAATTTCCTTTACGAAGTAGTCTATGAATACGACCAACAGGGAACTGCAAGCCAGCTCGATTAGAGCGAGACTTCGCCTTTCCCTTAGCTTTTCCACCTTTGCCACGACCAGACATGGTTCACGTTAACTAAAGTGTAAGTACTACAAATGCACTCCAACAGACTCGATCGAAATGTGCGCTGTCCACGGCGAGGCAATCCTTATAAGCCACCCGTCACGAGCACGAGCGGACCAATGGTGTGCAAGCTCGCACGCCATTGGTGCGCTGTTACTGCTACGTTTCAAGCTATATAAGGCGCCTGCACAGTCAACCGACATTCAGTCTTCGAGTCTTACAACCGTAGAGTGTACCTCAAGTATCACGAACCAGTTGCGAAGATGCCACCTAAAGCAAGCGGAAAAGCTGTGAAGAAAGCTGGAAAAGCTCAGAAGAACATCAGCAAATCTGATAAGAAGAAGAAGAGGAGGAGGAAGGAAAGCTATGCAATCTACATCTACAAAGTGCTGAAGCAGGTCCACCCTGATACTGGAATTTCCAGTAAAGCCATGAGCATCATGAACAGTTTTGTAAATGATGTTTTTGAGCGAATTGCTGCTGAAGCATCACGATTGGCTCATTATAACAAGAGATCCACCATTACATCCCGGGAAATCCAAACTGCCGTCAGACTGCTGTTGCCTGGTGAATTGGCAAAACACGCTGTCTCTGAGGGTACTAAAGCTGTCACCAAGTATACCAGTTCAAAGTAAACGCATCAGCGTACAGAAACGGCCCTTCTAAGGGCCAACAAAAATTTAACAACGTTAAACAATCTTGGTTATAACTATATTATATTCACGTTTATTATACTACTACCCAAATTATATCCCAATCATTTCTACCTATGTTCAACTATATTCCAATTTCCTATAATCATGGACTTCATAAAATTGTGAAAATCAAGTTCTTGAAATATTCCAGTTCTAAATTATATTAAGAGAAGATTATATTTGTAGGATTTCCTTACTAAATATCATGAAAACTCAAAACTTGTAGGAAAGACGAAGCCATTTTTCTAATTGTTTTCCGCGGTGTTTTGCCGACTATTGACTTGCGCAGTCCGTATCCGAGGAACATTCAATGTGACGATCAATGATGTAGATTCGCTAAGCATTTTAATTTTTCATTTGGGCAAATAGATAGCGACTATTTCACAAAGCTCTTAAGCATTACTAAAGAAATGAAAATTTTGAAATCTATCATGGCTCGCATAAGTTTAAAATTTATATAAGTATTATAACCTAATTTTATCACAATGCAGAATTGCAGGTTAGAACTTACACGTTACAATAATACTAGCTCGCAGTTTGCATATTATTTTGTTAAAATAAAATTATATTAATTTTGTTAGGATAATGTCACGTTACAATAAAAACATCAAACTAAATCACTATTTTCACTGTAATTAAATTTTCATACAAAAATAAATTGTAATCTTATTATAATTTATAGAAAATGCCATGTATTTACGTTAAATATGTCTAGAATGCTTCTTGATTAATAAACAAATTAATATTTATTTTAAAATCATCATTGATGAATCATTACAGTAATACCTTCCGTATAGATGGAGTAACTGTCCCTTGCAAACGTGGAATTTGATTGGTGGACGAGAAGAAAGATTATTTGTGAACAAGATAGCAGCAACAAAGGAATCAATGAATAAAATACATTAGAAAATTCTAAAATGAATTTAGTTTTATTTTCGTTGTACGTAAGTACTGTTTATAGCTTAAACTTTAGCAACTAAAGTAAAAATTTCTTACGCCAGATGTCAGAACCTACGCCCTGTAGCGTGCCCTCCATACTTAAATTTTTTGATGAACGAAGAAATTGGTATGTGGAGAAATAACGCACAAATAATAAAGAATAGTAACTTAGAAATATTTAGGCATTATCATTTCTTTTATTTTATAATAAATCAATACTTGCTTTAGGACTACACTATCCTTTTTCGAAACAAAATATAGATGGTTCTTCTATAAACCTGACAAGCGAATCAATGATGACGTGTCCTGTAGTTTGTACAACTACCTCAAGTTGCGACTCTGATCGTAAACTTGCTTATCATGTTTTATAAACTGAATGCTTATGAAAAACCTTTACCCTCATCCTAAGTTAATTAGTACAGTAGAGTTTATAGTTAATTTGTAGATTAAAATATAAATATATAGATAATCAAAATGCTTCGACAGCTTCGTTCAATAATACATAAAATAGGAAGTTTGAAACAAAGATTATCTAAGTATAAGATAAGTAACTACAAAATAGCATTCGCTTTTTTATTGATTTTTCAAGAGACGAACAGTAACTTAGCATATTTGAAAGAATTTTTCGATTGTTATACTCTGTAAAAAGAACTGAGTATAGTTTTCTATGACAGAGCTAGAGACAAAATTTATCCAATCTCATGTCAGATAAATATGATAATATATGATAAAATATGATAACACACATTAAATAGTGTTATATATGTTGGGCCTTTTTTATGGAAAAAATGGAAAAAACATATGACACACGATGAATACAGTATTTAATGTTCGCACTATTTCAGAAGAAAAAAATTATATGTCGTATAAGACTGCTATTTTTATCATATTGATTTATGATTAAATTTCCGAAATGAAACTTATTTTTGTTGAAAATAAGTAAGGTACAAAATAAATGATTTTGTGAAAATATTTTTAAGACAGTATTTTCATTTCTCATTTTGAAACTTAGTTTCCTCGTACATGCTATCACTATCTCCATCAGAAAAAGAACAGCAGACAGAAACCCTTGAATAACTGCAAATGTCATGAATTCGCCTCTGAGAATACTGAGCATATGAAAAATGCAATAAAAATCCATTCTAGATACATAAACCGAATATTTCACACATCCATGGGAATTGATATTAATCCAACGATAGAACATTCGTGGTTCACGTTATACATCACTAAGCGATCGAATATCAAGCAAGTTTTTCAAGTATCCGTTGCATGTAGGACGAAAACGATTGAACGTAAATTAGCAGCAGTCCTTTTTCTAAAATTTTTCATATAGTCATTATGCCAATTTTCGTCTAAATGTTTAGATTTTTAAGTTTTTCTACACGATGTTCTATCGCACCGAAAAGACGGACCTCGTTGAACGGCGCGATATTTAGCTTAAACGGGCGAATATAGATGAAAATCGATAACCAAATAAAACTACAAACACGCAGCTATATTTTCGCATATCAGTTACTTGTCAACGTACTCGTAATTTAGAAAAATAAAGCTTAAAAGTAAAGGTATATTTACCGCTTCTTCGCTGTCATGGAATCGCGGCATCCGACATATTGGGTGAGACTCTCTCCATGGTCCGCGCTCAAGAAAGAACACCGCTCTCACCGAAGCTAACTACCATTAAGCAAGAGGATCATTGTTGGTCTAGCTACCTCGAGGCACTTTGTATAAACTTCTTATCCGTTGTTGTTGAGTAATACCACAAAAATGGAAGACAAAGCGAACGCTAGTAGTACTGCAGTGGAGACTGCAGAAAATCCTGCTACACCGGCGAAGAAACCATCGAAAAGCAAGTCAAAATCGCAGCGTGAGAAAGCATCCCATCCACCAACATCGGAAATGGTTAACGCTGCTATTAAGGAATTGAAGGATCGGAAAGGCTCGTCCCTGCAAGCTATAAAAAAATACATCGCCACCACGTATAAAGTTGACGGGGAAAAATTCGCCCCGTTCATTAAGCGGTATTTGAAGACCGCTGTGACATCCGGCACTGTCGTCCAAACTAAAGGCAAGGGGGCATCTGGATCTTTCAAGCTCTCTAGTGGAAAGACTGAGACTTCCAAGGTGAAAAAGGTACCGCATCCAGCGAAAAAATCTACGCCGAAGAAGACACAGTGGGTAGAGAAGAAGACAGTTTCGAAGAAAACTGCCCCAGCTAAGAAACCAGCAACACCGAAGAAAGCTGCCGCCGAAAAGAAACCGGCACCAGTGAAGAAGAGCCCGTCCAAGGCAGCTGTTGCAAAACCTAAAGTTGCTACTGAAGCCAAAAGCATGTCGAAAACTAAAAAGACCGCCAAAGCACCAGCAGCCAAAACCAAGACTCCTAAACCCAAGAAAGCTGCGACACCAAAGACGCAGAAGGCTTCAGCAAAAAAATAATTATTTTTCAACAAGATCTCTTTCCTATTCATCATAAACTCGTCACAAACAAATCAATCATTACGAAATATTTAATACGTAATAATTTTATTTTAGCTCGATATGTAAGTTAGATAATATAGAAAGGTAGGCTATGAAATTAATTATATTAATGTATATTATATGTCGATTCATAAAGTACAAAAATATTTTTAATGATAAAACGTGCATTTTATCTCTGCACATGTTATAATAATTATTTACAAATTACATTTAGACACCACCTTTGATGAGAAAGAAAGAAAAAAGCAGTGAGTTTCAAGCTATTGTGTTTGCAACCGTGCTGCATCGTTGAGCGTGGTGCTAGGGAATCTAACGGGGAAATGCTGCATAACCGTATACCTCTAGCCTATACTACCCACCAGTTCCCGCCAAAACGTGGATGTGTAGGAACATGTATTCACTGTGCGCACACATATAAACTTAGAACGTACCAAATTTTTTATGAAAACTGACATGAAATCTTCTGTATTAAATTCATAGGTATAGCTCAATTGATATTAAATGCATAATCGTTGCAGCAGAAAGTGTTAGGCTTTGTGTTCATGAATAAATTTTAATAACAAATATTTTTAAAACTTTTTAACAGCGATAAATATATTTTCAATGATAGCTTTTGTATGTGAGTGTTGCTCACTTATTGTTATATATATGACTTTTATTGATTATGCAAAAAGAAAGGAGCTCGATTTTGTACATTATTGAGACAAGTACGAGTATAGCAAATCAAGGAAATGTAACGGCACTCTTAAGAACATATCCTATTTTCCAGATGTTAATATAAGCTATAATTCACCGAATAATAATATCGATTAATGTTTTAGGGCGATGAGTCACTTAGGGACAATATGTTCTACATTCTGATTTAGGGTTGCGCGCAATAAAGAAATGACGTTTCAACGATTAACGGTTTTTCGTATATAGGTAGAAAGTCAGGTAGGAAATACTAATTATTATTTCTACGAATGAGAAAATAAGAAACAGTAATACTATTTTATATATCATAGCAATTTGTATTTTTATGTATTATATAAAATATATTTCAAATACTTATGTCTATATTACAATTAATTTATTTATTTCAGCACTTGAAATATGATTTCTTTATTTGTAACTAATTTTGCAACCTCGCTGTTTATGATCTATACTACATGCTGTTTTGAGAACAGAATTGGAAACATTGGACAATTTAGGTTTGCTCGCTTCATATTGCTAATTGAGACGTATATTCATTCCATTATATTTTAATAAGATATTTCAATAATCAAAAAATTCTCGTATTTCCTATAGATAAATATTTATTATTAGTATAGGAATATTAAATTTGTATTTATTTTACAAATGACTAATGTTATTTTTTGTAAAAAATACAAATATATTTTACATCAAATAGTTTATAATTTTGTAATCAATAAGTGTAATAAAGGTTAATAATATCTTTTATTTTCATTGGTCGTAAAATACGTGAATGCATCCTGGGCATCATAGTGTGAATAACGAATACCATCCTATAGCCAGAACCAAGAGCTCGCATGTGATTGGTGAACGAAGATACTCTCTTCCGTTATATAATGAAACCGCTGGTATGGTACAAAACACATTTAGTGCATTTGCTGTCCGACATTCGTGAGGTTCAGAAGTGCATTGTATATTGAATATAAAGTGTTTGCCCTTTTATTATTTCAGTAACGCCTGATTCCTTTCTTTTTTCTCCTCTTTCGCTTGGGTGGGGACTGTGCAGTCACCGAGAAGCCTCTTTTAACGTACATCTATCTTATTGGATAGGATTTGTTCTTCCTACGCAGACAATATACTGCAATGATTGGTGAATAAAATATAGGAAAAAACTTGTTAAATCTATTGAGTTACTGTAAAGCTTTATGCTTTAGCCTGAACAGCTGTTTTAAAGGTTTTATTTTATATGGAATAAAAGATAGGTTAGGTTATTACTTAAATTTCTCATTAATGGATTCAGGTAACAATTTGTATGATCGATAAATGTTTGTGTTTTGATTGAGTTAAATTATAAAAAGGTTTTTGATTTTATTAAAGATATACCTCACATATTTCATAGCTATAATGGCTCTACACGTGATGTGTAAATAATTATTTTTAATTTTTTCTTCAGGATGCTGATCTAGGCTAAAAAGGGGTAAAGGGCTCTGCGAGATGACTGATTTTATGATTTCTATGTTATATGGTAGGAGCCAAAAATTATGAAACTTTTGTTGAATATTCTTTCTATTCTATCTGAATATTATAATCTCATAAAATAAGAAAATTGGAAATTGTATAAAATTTAGAAGGTAAGTATATTATTTTTTAACTGCTGAGTAAATTGATAGGTTTATAGCTATCCGATCTAGTTTTACATTTAGCCATACCTTTTTATTGAAACGATGACACTTTCTTAGGATAAATTTGCGACAAATGAAAATATGGAATATATAAAAGAATGAAGCTTGAACGAAATATGCATCGAATTTTCAGTATGACTTTCGTATACAAATTTTGTGTTGGTGAATAGGTTACCAAGCTTGATAATTACAGCTATTCATATATTATTGCCGGCGAGAACGGAATGCTGGACGAAGAAAACACTCGATTCCTATTCTTCTTTTCTCACTTCAACTCAACTTGCATCCCCACTGCTATTCGCCCCATACATTCTATGCTATCCGGATCGGGTACAGTTGAAATGGCTACCCTTCTCTCTAGCCAACCGTTGGGTTTGTCCGTTGCTGTTTGTTAACATAACCATAGTTCACAGACAAAAATATCTGTAACAGAAAAATAGTGATTGCTGGAAGCTTCGACTTCCTTCTGATTTTATGTAGATAACCTATAACCTCGATACTGGTTTCATAAATAAAAAACTTCACTTTTTTGACCTCTTTATGTCCTTCTGTGCTTTCCATTATGAATACTGTTATATTTCCAATTTCGCCGTAACCCACAAGACAATTCACTATTGACATTTTTTATCCAATTTCTAAAACAAAAACAAAGCTATGATTCCTTGTATTGGCACTTGTTATTTAAACAATTGAATTTTACTAATGACTGAATATAACCAATATTGCTCAATTTCTTATAGAAAATATATTTTATGCTCTTAACTTTGTTATACGATACTCACAGTTAGATAAACGAGTCATGGCATATCGTTGATTATCAGTATTTCATCTGATTCATAAAATGCAAACAAAAGTGTTTCGACTATATTGCGTTTGTTTGGTAAGAATATTACTATTTCAGATAACCTACAAAAATGAATTTGTAAAATTACGTTAGCATCCATTGGAATTTCAACTTGATATACAACATTTGAGATTTTAAAAACACTGTTTTGATAAAATACAAATCCCACATCATTGGAAAAGAATTCTTCTACAATCAAAGATAAAAGATTCCTTCTTTTTGGCTTTCACACAGTTACTACTTTCCACGTCCTGTTCGACGAAAATGGAAATTTCTATTATTCCCAATACAAGGTTACGTTCTGCAAGTGTCCATATGAACGAAGTTAGACAATTTTAATTTTAGGTTGAAAATTAATACAAATATTATTTTCAAGAAACTGCTCTAGGTACCCTGTAATAAAAATTTAATAAAATAAAGGAGAAAACTTACGAATACGCACCTGATTTCTATCTCAATAAACCGACTTTCACCTAAAGTTTAAACTGCAACGTTGTACACATCCTTAACTGCGTAAAACTTTCTTATTTAATTATTATTTAAGCTGCCTTTGAGAAACGTCGAAGCAATTTTATTGCAACTGAATAAAATCTCAAATATTATTAACACAAATGGCTTTTTTGTGGATCACGAAATTTCTCAAAATGAAGTAATACTTTCATCAACGTGGCTCAAATTTTTTCTAACCGTAATACTTTATATAACACACTCCGTAAAAATTGTTTCGTTAAATAAGAGCGTATGCAGTATTAATGCTATTCAAAATTTTACTAGTTTAACTTTTACATCTGGACAGGAGTAGAAAGTTGTTAGGTAGAGGGGAAAAATTTAATAAGGGGGAACCAGGCAGGGTCTGGTTTCCTACACAAAGAAGCAAGGAGCAGATGTTGCTTCTCTGTGGGAAGCACTATACGCGTACCCTAAAGTAATAACGGTCGGTTATTTCGAAGGGATTTTGAACATATTTCTAACGGAAGAATATTTATGGAAACTATACCTGTTAGGTATAAAAATTAAGAATCGATACGGGTAAAAATATGGTTGAATCGTTTGATCTAAAGATCTAAGGATAAGGAATTTGAATTTCAATGTGTAAAAGGTATGACGTAATCCATAGTTTAACACCTCGAGTCACTACATTCAAAGGAAATTTTGGCCCTAAAAAGGGCCGATTGTATTGTAAGTAGCCTAAATAATTTAAGCTCTCTCTCCACGAATACGACGAGCCAGCTGAATATCCTTTGGCATGATTGTAACGCGCTTAGCGTGAATGGCGCACAAATTGGTGTCTTCGAAAAGACCAACGAGATACGCCTCGCTAGCTTCTTGCAGGGCCATGACAGCTGAACTTTGGAATCTCAGATCGGTCTTGAAATCTTGTGCAATTTCACGAACTAGTCGTTGGAACGGCAATTTTCGGATGAGAAGTTCCGTGCTTTTCTGGTATCGTCGAATTTCACGAAGAGCGACGGTTCCAGGCCTATAGCGATGAGGCTTTTTCACTCCACCAGTAGCCGGTGCACTCTTGCGAGCAGCCTTAGTAGCCAACTGCTTACGTGGAGCCTTCCCACCAGTTGATTTACGAGCGGTTTGCTTGGTACGAGCCATTGTCTCTCCTCCTTAGAAACGAAGTACGTTAAGATAATATAACGATGCGTCGAATATATTCACACAATGTGCAATGCGTTGTTCGACTGCTGATGACCCCTTTTTATACGTTGCAGCTCCCGCTCGGTCGTCTCTGATTGGCTGCTGGTCAGGCGGTGGGGAGTTACTCTGGAGTTAGTATAAAAGGGGGCTGCAAGAGACTGGAGGCACACATTCGATTGTTGCTGTTGGAGTAATACGCATCTTCTAGTTAATTTTTCATTATGACTGGCCGTGGAAAGGGAGGAAAAGGATTGGGAAAGGGAGGAGCCAAGCGTCATAGGAAGGTTTTGCGTGATAATATCCAAGGTATCACGAAACCAGCTATCCGTCGTCTTGCTCGTCGTGGTGGTGTGAAGCGTATTTCTGGTCTGATCTACGAAGAAACGCGAGGTGTACTAAAAGTTTTCCTAGAAAACGTTATCCGTGATGCTGTTACATACACCGAGCACGCTAAAAGGAAGACCGTAACGGCAATGGATGTCGTTTACGCTTTGAAACGCCAAGGCAGAACTCTCTACGGTTTTGGTGGTTAATTGGTGCTGCTATATTGCTGCATTTATAAACACAAACGGCCCTTATCAGGGCCAACAATATTTTCAAACGTATGAATCCTCTCTGTCTCAATATAAAACTTACGTATAAATTGATTCAAGCATACATGAAAAATGTCTGCCATAACACGAATTTAGCATTTCTTTCTTACTCATTCCTTATCTCTATTCTAAAATATTTCAAATATAATTCTTATATAATTGTTTTATTATAAACGTTTATATTAGCTAGCTTTGTTCAACAGTACATATTTTCTATTATTGAAGTAGTAAGTTTAACTGATTTATTATTGAGGAATTCGTAAAATTCTAAATAGGAAAATATTTAGGATTGTGACAATGAAATTACGTGTGTATATAAAATGTTGAATGCTAACTGTATATTTTATAATCGTGTATCGAAAAGGTGAATTCTAACCTCTTTCGGGATGGAACAATATTTATAGTTATTTCTATTTAGTATATATAAAAGAATTTTTATGTAAGTATATAATTTGTTATTCTTCTATTACCATGAAACTGAAATTTTGAACATTGATTAGAAAATACTTTTACAATCTGAGATTTAAAATTTTCTATGTGACGCATATGCATATGCATCTCGATATGACTTACATCTTGCAACTTGATTTTCTAATTCCCGACCTGATTATTTTCCAGTTGTAAATTATGTAGAAGTAAAACCAGATATACGTAGATAAAAATTATTTGAATTTTATATACCTTATTTTTAAGTAAGTAACATTTATATATGAATTTTAGGGTGAAGATTTTGAAATACGTTATAGTACATACTTATGATACTGTATAAACTTGTAGTTATAAATTTACATGAAGTTATTGTGTATAAGCTTATAATTAAAAATACTGAATGAAAAAGGTTGGTTATTTGAACGATATCTCAATAAAAGAAGTCTTGAATTAAGAGGAATATGATCAATTTTTGTTTTCCATCTTGGATATTTCTACAGTATAGCGCTTCCCACTTGACAGCTGATAGCTATGAAATACTTTTCTCTAATGAGTTATCTTTATGAATGAAATCATTTGAATAAGCTTTCAAAGCCATTGCATTTATATTTGTGCGTAACTTTTTCTAACTCGTGTAAAAAATTATTTCATAACGTCATACTTATACATGTTTTGTTTGTGATATAGGTTATGTTTAAATTTCATATAAGGTTAAGAAATAATTATTGTTTGCTAATTTTATGTTATATTTTTGCAGTCTGTTATTGGGAAAAGTAATTGACTAAAATGTCAGATGACGAAGATTTGGTATACGTTAAAAAACAGAAAACGGTTCATTATGGATCACTCGAAGAAGCGGAACGTGCTAGATTGGCGGCTGTGGCGGAATCTTCTGAAGAGGAAAAAGATGCCACGAATTTGGGAGATAATGTCAACGCTGCTTTTGCTTTGGGAAATATACACATATCGAATGAATATATGGAACTGGAAGATGAGATGTCTAAAGACAGACAAGCACTTTTAGAAGAATTTGAACGTAGAAAGAAAGCTCGTCAAATTAATGTGTCTACAGATGATTCAGAAGTAAAGAAAAATTTGAGACAATTAGGAGAACCTATTTGTCTTTTTGGAGAAGGACCTGCAGATAGGAGAACAAGATTAAGAGAATTATTAGCCAATTTAGGTGAAGATGCAATTAAGAAAAAACACGACGAAGAAGAAAAGCCTTCTCATCCAATTGAAAGGGATACTGAAACAACATGGTATCACGAAGGGCCAGAATCTCTTCAGATAGCACGTTCTTGGATTGCTAGTAAGTATAAAATTAATGTTTTGTATTTTATTGTTTGTTTGTTTGTTTGTGTGATATTATTTTCATTTATATTACAGCATATTCATTGCCTAGAGCAAAGGCCAGACTGGATAAAGCACGGCACGATTTGGAGCTGCCAACAGCTACACGTACAGCACGCCGTCAAGAGTTACTAAAAAAATTACAAGCATTGACAATTTATTGTTCTCAAATTGGTGATACTAGGCCAATTTCTTTCTGTCAGTTCAGTCCCAATTCCAAAGTGCTTGCTACAGCTTCATGGTCAGGGTTGTGCAAATTATGGTCTGTACCTGACTGTACTTTGTTAAGAATTCTTAAAGGACACACTTGTAATGTTGGCTGCATTGTTTTTCATCCAAAAGCTACTATTACTGAAGAGGTGGTAGGGGAAAAAGCTGGACAGACTTGTATCTTGGCGTCCTGTGCTTCTGATGGTATATGAATTTTTTATTGTATCAAGAATTTGCAATATATAGTTCAGTAAAGTATTTCCACTGCATATATAGGAACAGTAAAATTATGGAGTGGTGGATATGGGGAGGAACCCTTAGCTGAAGTTGAAGGACACGAGCCACATAGAGTTTCAAGGTTAGCATTCCATCCATCTGGTAGATTTCTTGGAACATGCTGCTACGATGCGTCATGGAGACTTTGGGACTTGGAACAGCAAGCAGAAGTTTTACATCAGGAAGGTCATGCCAGAGCAGTGCATTGTATTAGGTAAAATATTTAAAATTATAAATAGTTCACATAGCAAAGAACAAAATGTTCAATTCAATTTATAGTTTTCAGGTTGATGGTAGTGTAAGTGCTACAGGTGGTCACGATTCCTTTGGTCGAGTATGGGATCTTCGTACAGGACGGTGCATAATGTTTATGGAAGGTCATTTGAAATCTATATTTGGTATCGACTTTTCTCCAAACGGATTTCACATAGCAACAGCGAGTGAAGATAATACTTGTAAAATATGGGATTTACGAAAAAGGTCTTGCGTGTATACGATACCTGCCCATACTAACTTATTATCAGACGTGAAATATCAAAGGATAGAAGGACAGTATTTGGTAACTTCATCGTACGACAATACTGCGAAAATATGGTCGAACAAGACCTGGCAACCACTTAAAACGTTACCAGGTCATGACGGTAAAGTCATGTGCGTTGATATTTCCCCCGATCATAAATTTATTGGAACCAGTTCATACGACCGAACGTTTAAATTGTGGGCTCCTGAAAACATGTAAAAATTCTTGACTGAATAAAGTGTAATTTAAGGAAGAACATACTTCAGGGAGTCAGCTTTAACGATGCATGTAAGGAAACTTCATTTTTGTATTATAGGAGAAATAATAAACATTTATTCTTTATTATTTGTCCCTCAAATATTATCACAATATCGTTACGTTTACTAGATCAATCGAATATTAGACTATTATTATGTCGATCTTCACAAATTAACGCATTGCTTTCGATAAGAAATATTCACTATCGACAACAGTGACTGAGATTAATAAGTTCTTGAACTATTCGTGAAATTATTCTTGCTATTATTGCGATTGGACTTTGTACTTAGAAGTTTGCTGGCCGATTGCAGTTTTGCGTCATTCCCGATAAACATAATTATACGTAATTGCAAAAAGATACCCGTGCCTATTTATATCGAACGTTCCTTTCGAAACCGATTTCGTTTTCCATATTTTTATTGATTTTTTTACATGTACTCTGTAAACGATCGTGGCATCGTTAACGAAACGTTGACATTGTTAACAATCGATTAAATTTAGGAAGTCCGCAGGTAGATAGATAACTTTATAATTGGTGTCTTGATTATCTAAGATCGAGGGAACTTAAAATGATACGTGCAAGTTCTCGAGTTGATAGTTCAGCGAGAAGTTTTGAATATAACTGAGCGACTTAACTAAACATCGATCGAAGCGACTGCGAATAAGAGTTTCTCTTATGCTTTTACATTATTAACGAGTTTCGCAATAAGTTTCCAGAATACTCATGCTGACGCTTCTTTCTTCAATGAAAAATCATTTTGCATGTACAAGCAATTCTTATTGTTACTTCGTTTCCCTCTTACGCGCTTTTTAATTCATATCATAATTAGAAAGGAACATTGCGATGTAATAAAATTCCTGGTGCAAGTAAAAATTGACCGACGGTATATTTATATAACTTTAAATTAATCACGTGGTACATTGCTTTTGTTTGATTCATAATTTTAACATTCTTTGGTTCATCGAAGGATAGGACAAAGTTATGATTCTACAAACAACGTGTTCTGCTAAAATTACATTTACGGTTGTAGCTCTTACAGATAATACTTATTCTAAAAGAAAATTAATTCACTTAATAAGCGCAGTATTTCTACTTCTATTTTAGAAATAATCCACGTACTTTTGTTCATTCCAATTTCTTTTGCTATGTTTCATCGATATTAAACTAACGGCGAATCAACAGTAACGATTCCATTATCGAACAGGAGGATCTCGTCGAAGAGATATTCCTTTCAGCGGAAATGTACACATTACCGTTTCCACCTGGTCGAATTTTTAGCTATTTGTAAACATTTATCAATGAACGATCGAAGGGTGGAGAGAAAGGTACTCGTTACTCTGGACAAATCGAAAATGGAGGTCGAGTGACCTTTCCCTCGTTCCCTTCGACGTAGAGTCCACCGTGCAGTGGAAGCGAAGATTCCGATATCTCCGGGTGATTGCAACGAACCTCATGCCGATTCGTTCAGAGGTAATGACTGATGGAGCCAAACTTTGTCGCCACCCTCTGCGAAATCGGCAGCTGCGTGACCATCGCCGTGCAGCACCCATTTTGTGGTCAGTAGTCCGTCTACTCCCACTGGACCACGTGCGTGAATTCGTGCGGTGGAAATTCCGACCTGTTAAAATATTCATTGAAAGGCAGCACGATTAACGCAAAAATCTATACCTCGTTGAGATCTTGAAATCTCCTGTAGTAAATAAAAGATTCGCAGAATCGCGTAATGATTTTAGCAACTTACCTCGGCACCGAGACCGAATCGGTATCCATCAGAAAACCGAGTACTGGCGTTGTGGAAGACGCATGCACTGTCAACTTCCCTCTGAAAGTGGGCTGCTTGTTGGCTGTTTTCGGTAACGATGACATCCGTGTGCCCGCTGCCGTATTTGTGAATATGATTTATCGCGTCATCGACGTCTGACACGACCTCGATCGAGCACTCGAGGGCGCCATACTCGGTCTTCATGCTCTTCGCGGCTGGCGGACCGAATGTCAATTGCTTCCTCAATTTCGGTCCGGAATTGACTTTCACCTAGAACGTGAGGTAGCTATGAGTAATCCCTTGTTCCAATATCTTATCATTAATCCACTTACTCCTTCCTTCTGCAGCATGTTGCAGACATCCGTGAAGAAGCTACCCTTCATGTGGTTCTCGTGAATAAGCAAAGTCTCCATGGCGTTACAAGCAGCAGGGTAATCGCATTTCGAGTCCCTGATGATTCTCAGAGCTTTCATCAGATCCGCGTCCCTGTCCACGTAAACGTGACAGATGCCCTCTGCATGTCCCAGGACGGGAATGTGCTTCGACTGTTCCTGAATGGTGCGAACGAGGTCAGAGCTGCCTCGAGGAATCACCAGGTCTATGTGCTTGCCCATCGACAGCAGGTCACCGACGTCCTCCCTGGTCGAGATGAGGGATATCGCATTGGCAGCACCGACGGTGCTCAGTGCCTCCTTTACCAGCTCCATTAAGTACCGATTGCTGTTGGCTGCTTCCTTGCCGCCTTTCAGGAGAAGCCCGTTGGCGCTGGACATGGCCAATGCTGCCACCTGAGGTAGACTGTCGGGTCGCGATTCGAAGATCACCAGCAGCACACCGATAGGGACGGTGATTTGTTTTAATTCCAGGCCCTCGGCCAACTTGGTCCTCCTGAGCACACGGCCAACTATCGTTAAAGAATCGTTGGCAATTTGCCGCAGTCCAGAGCTCAGAGATTTCAGTTTGGCGGGCGTTAATGAAAGACGAGAGAGCAAAGCCTTCGCCAAGCCACTTTTCTCCGCCTCCTCGAGATCCTTCATGTTGGCGTTCAGAATTTCCCTTTGTCGGGATTCCAGCAGATCAGCTAACGTGTTGATGCAGCTTGCTCGTTCCTCCGGGTGGAGAGCTTGAAGAGTTCGACTTCCGATTCGAGCTGGAAATTATTGGTTTTACATTCCAGCAATTTTTCGCAGGAATTTTGAAGCTGGGAAGTACTATACTATAGACGATCTGACTTTGGGTATTAAGACGTAGACATTAATATATATTAAGATGTTAAACGGTGTTCCGATGGTCTGGTCTGTGGAGGATGTTTGGCGCCACGACGAGGAACGTTAAATGTTTAAGGTGATTCGTTAATTTTGTCTTTCTCTATAAATCTAAAAATTAAAACGCGAATAAACCATCTCGAACGTTGATTTATTTCCCGAGCTTTAGTCCCAAGTACCTTTTCTATCCCGTTTCGTTATCGAGATTTTTCTTAGAATGTAATATCGAGAAAGAGGAAGAAATAGAGGTTACGTCTGTTCAGTGGATAAAATTGATTATTCTCGAAAGAACTACAGGGTTCGTAACGCGTAGTCTATTCAGTGGAATGGCCGCGAAGAATATATTAAATAAGTTTTAATGGAATCCGATGCTGATAAAAATTACTCGAAGTAGTAACGAGAATGGAAGGTATTTCGCTCGGAGAAGCTCTCGAGTTAAAGGAATATTTAACTACTTTTCTTTTCACTTACTTTTTCAATGGCCGACCACGTTGACCGAAAGTTGTTGGAACGAAATATATTTCCACCGAATAATGTGACATTTTTCTATATCTTAGGGGAGCGCGGTATGTGTCGCGGATAATTGTACAATGGCCACGATACAGTAGCCGTAAGCCGTTTCATTTCTACCTTCGATAATCGATGACCTATATTTCTATGGTCGGTAGAACAAAATAACGCTACTGACCGATCCCTCTACGAAAAAATTATCTCGTACAAACGCAATAATCTTCCTACGGCAACTTTTTCCTTTCAACGGAAACTAGGAAAAGCGAGAAAAAGAGAAGGAGAAAAAGAAAAATGTAACTTCGTCTTACTGGTTAAAAGTCCAACCATCGGAGTAACTTCAAATTCGCTGTTTGCGACATTTTCGAACCTCTCGCTATTCCTTTTGCCACATAACAAGCTCGGAAGATATAAAACTTTGCCACAGGATAAAAAAGCGTTTTACCATCCTCAGCGACGACTTCCACAGGCGTGGAAGTTTCGGTTGTCTGCGTGAAGAATGTACCGATCTTTCTTCCAGACAGGATATACTCAACAGCCTTCTCTTGTGTTCCGTTACAGATCACCACGGAGACACCTCGATCCAGGGCCCAAAGCGCTGCATTAACCTTCGCGTCCATGCCACCGGTACCGACCTTTGACTTCTGTCCAAACTTGATGGTGTCCCTAAGGTCCGTGCTGAACGTATGCAGCATCTTGGCTCCATCTTGCCACGGCGGTAAATTATAAATGCCGTCGACGTCGCTCATCAAGATTAACAAGTCAGCCTGGATCTCAGCGGCCAACATAGCGGCCAAGGAGTCGTTGTCTTTGATGGAAATACCTCTTCTACCACCGCTACCGGCCACTTCCTCGTCAACGTGCGGCGGTGGTGAGACCGCGTCGTTGGTATTGATTATAGGTACGATGTTCAAGCTGAGTAATTCGCTCAGGGTGCTGAACAGGTTCTTACGAGTTTCCTCGTTGTAGAAGTCCGGCTTGGTGACCAACACTTGAGCCAGTTTCACGCCATACTGGGCAAACATCGCGTCGTACAGCGACATCAAGCCCGACTGACCCACTGCGGCTGCTGCTCTAGGTTCCAAAGGAGTGCCTGCGTGAACATTAGATCGAAATTACCGTATCTCTTCGTCACTGGAGCGTTGGGTGGATGTGCGGTCAGCAGATCGTGCGTGGTACAACAAACGGTATCGTTGGGTAAATGGTTTTTGCTTGTACTCTTATGGTCTTTTGGAGTCGGTCCAAAATCAGTTGACCGCTCATCCTCGTGTATCGATAGCGCGATTCGAGCTCTAACAATTTTCCTCTTTTCAGGAATTCACGCGTGACGCAAAAGAGAAGACGATAGGAAGTTATTTTTCCACGATATGCAGAGGTTGGTTGGTTTTCGGCTAATCTCAATATTATCGCGAGACGATTAAAATGATTCGATGAACGCGTCAGCAAAGCGGCTGGATAAAACACGGGCAGCATCTTGATAATTTATCGTGCTCTCATGATCTCGACTCGACGTGCTTCCCTTGCCAAAACGTGTCAGGAAAGCCGGAAAAGGTCGACGACCATCCGACTTCGCGAACACGTTTCCGTGAGAGTAATAAGAAACAAGGCGGCGCTATTTTCCCAGCAATTTCTGTCTATCGCGTGGTCGATCGTCGCTTTCCTCGAAAGGAGGAATTACCGCGAATGTTTTCCCGGGCAAATAGAATTTCGAAGGAACTGCCGGTAAAAGAATTGGGCGGCTCGCGGTTGTTAGTTTAACCTACATAGGAGCACCGGACATTGTCAAGTTGCCGAGGAGTCCCTGGATATCCGAAAGTACCTCGGGGACGCCCCGACGAGTCCCAGTCGTGAACGGTCTAGTGTTCGTACTTGCTTCGAAATTTACGAGCCCCTGTATCGATTTCTTTCACACGACCGTTACGCGAATACCCGCGAAAAAGGAAATATCCTCGCCTTGTTAACGCGAGCAAACAATACCGAACTATATCAGCGAATCCTCCTTTTTAAGCAAATCATTTCCCTGACAAAAATATGAAATAGCTAAATAAGTAAACTTTACGTTATTTAACTTTTGTTCGCGAATCTTGTTTCTACTATAACGTTTCACGAAATCTTGTGTATCTCTGTATTTCACGTGTACGCGTACACGGTGCGCGACAAAATGGTGTCGCATATACCATGATTTTCACCGAGTCTCGTGGAACCTAGAAGTAGTGTTGGCGAAAAAAGAATTTACGATTGCAAATCAATTTTGATTTTACAGGGGAAGCTTAGCACTACGCCAAACGCTAAAAATTATTGCCTGCGCTATCATTTTGTGGCGTACTGTATGCACGTGTACGCGCCTACAGGATTCTTGTGGTATCAATCGATGCGACCGTGCTTCATCCAGGGAAACATCTCACGATTCTCATCAGGCCAGCAGATTGTACGTTTTCACTCGGAGAAGAGGATTTACATTCGGGCAATTTAATCTTCATAACTCGTCGGTATTATTCGGCCGATCGATCCACCACGGACGATTAAAACAGCGGCTGGGCATTACTCTTCTCGCGTTTCGTGTGACCATTGGCGACTCTTGTAATCGTGGTTAATTATCGGGTCGCGACGGATGAATTCGCGAGAAGTATAGGCGAGGAAACACGAAGACCTGCCGCGAAGGTAAATCCTGACACGTTCTCGCTACACTCGAGACTCATTAGCGCGCGAGATATAAAGAAAACGGGAGCACGAGCAGAGGCAAGTAAGTGCATAGAACGGCAGGATCGTGTACTCTAATTTGCAGTTAGCTGATAACATTCTGAGAAACGAAATTCATGGTGAAACGATCGCATCTCGGGTCGAATTACTGCCGGATATCCAAGTCGTGGCATAGAATTCTCATCGAACACGATACATCGGCCTCCATTGTAATGCGAATCGTGCATGAGGTTTCTCGGGTTTGCGTAGCTGCAAAGTGAATCGGAATCATCGACAAATTCCGCGATCGAGCGAAAGCCAATATCGATTTACTTCACCCCGATAGGCAGAAGTCGGCGAACCCAAGTGTCCGTAAGTTATTTTTCTGCGTTTTGTACCACGAAAAATATTTAAACATCGAATAATCTTTGATTGTTTAATTACAGATGGCAGAGGAGGACGATTTAGACGAGGTAATAATTCGTTACTGAGGAAATTTAAATGAGATCTTATTTTCAGTGGAAAGGTTGCCGACTTCTGATCCAGTAGAATATTCCACGAGTTCGTCGCGAGGAAAATAGTTTGAAATTGGTTTCCGAAACGGGGAACAGCGAGCGACTTGGATGTCTCTGTTAGTAAACGAAGAGAGAAGCTTGTCTCCATTGATGACCGTAAGTAGTTGACGTGTATGCGTAGAATTATACCCGAGCGTTTTCTCATGTGACCGCCAGGACTCAGCGTCTCCCTCATTGATAAGGACATCAACAGTTCCTGGGCTAGCTTCTGTTTGCCGAATGCGACCGCTCCGCTAGTTACCATAATACATTCACGACCTCCGTTTTGGCACTCGGCTACCTGTTCGACTATAGACGCTAAGCGACCCAGTGCCAGTCCGTGTTCGTCTTCCCTCGTGATAACGGCGCTACCCAATTTCACCACCAAACGTCTCGTGTACGTCAGCTGGCTGCGATCGTTGAACATCGCTGCTTTCCGAGGCCCCTCTGTCGACTGTAATTCGCTATGTAAGTCTATTTACCTGAATTTCCTTGCAAAATTAACCCTTTCGCTACCGCCGGGACCATTCGAGCCTCAGCCGTTTTATCAGTATTATACAGTATTTGCAACTCATTCATATACGATTTCTTGCGACGTCGTATGGCCAACTTAATCGTATGGACTTGCTTCTTCTGACATAATGGGACTAAAATTTCTTAACCCGTGTGTGTCGCGAGAATCAAGCGATGACGCACATAGCCGTCAAACGCAGAATAAGTGTCGCTGTTGAAATATTGGTTCAAAATGTTTACGAATATATTTTAGTTTTTCGCCAATTTAAATTTGCAATTTAAATATTAAATGGTAACAAAATATAGTCGCCATGACACGAAATTCTGCCATGTCTCCGTGACGGATATAGTCGTCAAACACACTTAACTGGTTAAATATCAAAGATGAGATAAAATTTTGTTATTCGCGGTGAAATATCTCGGCAGCGAAAGGGTTAATTATTTTATTTGTTCAATTTTACTCTATTTACTCTATCTCGCGAGTAAGCAAATCGCTTCCACCCTTTGATCATTATGTTTACCATTTTGTACGACCCCTCTCGCGTCGAGGGTCGAAATGTTCTAACCGTTTCCCCGTGTTGTTCGTTGAAATGTGCGGCGTGTATCGTAAGACGCGTTATTCATCAAGGATAGTCATTAAAATCTGAAGCAAAGATCTTTCCATTTGCAAATGGAAAGCCTCGAACGATTTCTATACTTTCAACCACCGCTCTCGCGGTGACGACCGGTCGCGATGCCTCGCCGCGTATCTCTCTGTCCCAGGGTGAGTTAATTCGCCTCCCCTAATTCGTCGTTTCATCGAACAAATTTATTCCTCGATTTTTACCCGCAATTCAGCGAAACACCATCGCGGCGACACGCGTCCTCTCGTATCTCGCGACGATGTTAGGGGTCCTTTGATCGCTTCTTCAAACCGACCGCGTAATCTGCTATCTCGCGAGTCTACGATCGTTTAAGTTCTCCAATGTTATCTTCCCGTGCAACACTTCAATCGAGAACGAAAAATTTCCGGCTGCCAATTTCCATTCGATTGCCACTCGACATACTTTCTCGCGTACACGTGTAACCTCTTCCCGGATCGATCTATCGGTTACATAAAATTACAGATCTGTTCACGTGTCCATGGAGCCGAGTTAAATATCGTGGAAAATGAGGTTCGTTAACGCATCGACGACTGTGCACGTGAAAGGTCTCTCGTTTTCCAAGCCTCGAGAACCGGACGAATGTGTAGGATCGCTCGATGAGAGTAAAAATATTTCGCAGCGCAATATTTTCAAGATTTTTTTTTACACCAGATATATCGTGTTTTATATTTAACTGGTATAATTTCAAATTGCGCCGTTTCCAAAATGTTTGTCCATTTATATGACTATCACGGGGTTCGAGGCCATGTATCCTCGCGTCAAGATGGACGCAAGTTGAGATACTAGGGGTATGTAAGAACGCATGATTCAGAGGGGTGGAAATGAAAGAGGGGAGAAAAATGGGAAAGCGATCGGGCAATTTCGTTTCCGGTTTAATGGCATTTTCGTCAATCTCTGTTGACGGAATTACACCGGAATGAATAATTCATTCGAAATGAAAACGATTGATCCGACAGCGACATCTGTTTTCCACGTTTCGTTACGTTTTCGACTTTCCCGCATTTCTTCGTCGAGTTTCCGCTCCCACTCGAATACCACTCGCGAGGCAACGCGAATTTCTCCCCATCTCGGAAGAATTTTTCGAGGAATCGTCCTTCGGTGACACAACGTCAATTCCGGATTCGTCTTGACGCAGATTCTGCCGGTTTCGCAAGCGAAAGATTGCCGATTGCGCGCTGTAAATCACCTCGCACCGCGTCTCTTATCTCCGTTTTCCAAGACGCAGTTTCTTTTCAGTCATAATCAATTCCTAATTCTAACATTCGCGATGATAAAGTACGCGATGACGCGGACCCAACGAGATCGCTGGATCTTCGCGAGTCTTCATCGACCTGTTGATTTCGCTGGACCTGTCGACCGATTCCGATATCCCTATCGATTCCGATCTAGGTCGACGACGGGATCGATCTCGAAATAGAGGAGAGCACGCCACGCGAATTATCGACGATCGTTTCTCGTTACCACGCTGCCAGTGTCGTGTCTGGATCGTGATTAGGTGTCAATTGATAAAACGCGATACTTATCGGCTAGTGGATGCCGGTCGTGGAGAAAATGTGACGACGAGGTGGCACACGATCCTCTCGGTAAACGCGTGTTCGAAATTTCCCGGAATCGATCTCGATCACCTTATCTCCTTTGTTTTGACGTAGGGATAAACAAGCGTTAGACTCGATAACCGCGCCATTGCTTAATTTGTCGAATTCCTTTTATTATATTGACAAACCTAACGCGATCGCTTTGAATACGATATATTGGCATTTGGATCGTGGATCATGGATCTGGCAATGAGAAGGAAATATTCCACGATCGAGACTCGTTACGTGCAAATGACACGGAAGAGCGGGATGATTGTACGAA